GCCAGCGATAACGAGCAGCGCTGCCGCGGTGACAACTTCCCCCCCCCACAATCCCCCGCTTTGTCTCCCCTGCCCTGCCGCGTGCTGAAACCGGCGGGCTATGAAAGTGTCGTTTGGTGAGGGCGAGCGCGCGCGCGGCCTGCCCCCCGCAGTGCGACAATTACAGTGACGCGGCATGCCTAGCCTGCAGAATGTGCTCGCTGCATTGCTGAGCTGATCAGTGGCTGGTCGGCTCGTGAGAAGCACGCGTTTGATCAAACCTCCTCCAGCGACGCGTCCGTCCCTTGTCTGTCAGCATGGAAAAGCACAGAGCTTCCTACGCAAGCTGTGTGCGCGCGCGATGTTGTAATGTGTGTGTACGTGCGTGTGTGTGTGTGCGTGTGTGTGTGCGTGCGTGCGTGTGTGTGTGTGTGTGTGCGTGCGTGCGTGGTCGTGTGCGCGTCCCGTCGGCCAGCTGTGCGTGAAACGTAACCGACAGGGTAGCAACGTTATCACTCTGAATACCTACGTATGTGAGGTTTATTTGTGGTGTTGCGCACGTAGATTCATTCCAACTCCAGCGCGATATGGCCAACCCACAAAAGTTCGATAATGTGGTAGTAGAGTGCGCTGTAGATGCGCACCAACGTGGAACGTCGCCCTTCCGCTCTCAGTTATATCCGTATAGCATAAACCAAGCTACTGCTTGCGGTCTTATGCTGGACGCTTTTGCCAGACGTATGGGGGGGGGCAAGTGTGTGATTGTGTTCCGGCACCGCGCGTTGTCCGTGGGCAGCATTTCGGCCTATGTCCACACAAACGTAGTCAGGTGGTAAATTGGGTAAGGTAAGGCTAAACGCCACTTGTCACCTTTTCAGTGTGCTTGGCTCTGGTCCGCGATCATTGTACTGTACCAGAAAAACCTCCTCGGCTCTCCTTTGTTCCGTGCGTCTTGCCATATTGGAGCATTAGCAAGTTGGCATTATGCCTGGTAAAAAAGGAAAAACAGCTTACGGTTACAGCGGGTCGGTACTACACGCACGATCGCCTATTAGGCAGATGGGTCGTTGTCGTATCAGGTACTACAGATATGTACCCGAGGTACATATATGTATAGTCACAAAGTGTACAGACTTGTACTACAGAAGTGTACCTAACCCTAACCCTAACACTAACCCTAAACATACCTCAATATAAAATATAACATAATACTAACAACCTAAAACTACCATGCGGGTAGGCATATCTGTAGTACCTGATACGACAACGACCCCATCTGCCCTAATTAGTGGTGCAGGCAATATGGACGTCTTAGACATGCGTACTGGTGTGTTCGTACGTAAGCTTAAATGTAGGGTGCACGGCAGTTGTTCCCGCCATCTCTTCTGGCACCGTTCCACTCTATCACTCTCCAGGTGCCAGCATCATAAACTCTCTCTCTCTCTCTCTGCCTCGCCGCTTTCCTATGGCCAGCGTCCAATACTCACTGACCCTGCTATTTCTTAATTACTTGTTCCTATAGAACGTGGCCAACCGGGTTTATAACTCTGTTAATCAATTCGATCAGCGGTGTTAAATGAGCACCTATGTAATGCTGATTCTGTCGTTGCAGTCGCAGTAAGACATTATAATTCTACCGCACAGCCAGCAGCCGAGGCGCGTAGGTAGTCACTGGGGAGCGGCTGATGTTAATCCGGGGAGAGGCTGGGGGAGAGGCATATGCTCATCAGACTTACTCATTAATAATCACGATTACCTAATATTTCCGTGCGGTTGGGTGCGTGTGCAGACAAGCGTGTGTCTTCGCAACTAGGAAAAGCTGCTTCCGAATGCCATTAATCTAGTTTACTCATTAAGTAGATTCATAATTGTCAGTAGAGTTGTCTCTTATTAATGACGGTGGGGGCCGATCAGTACTCTATTCCTCTAGGCGGTGGAACTCTATATTGTTTTTCGTGATGGGCTGGTACGGGCTAGCGTGATCTGTATAGAAGCAACTGTCGTCAGTTATGCGTATGTTACTTCCTATACGCGGCTCCGTGTAGTGTGAATGAATGGTGGGGCAACTGAACTCTAGAGGTTCGTTTGCAACGTTTCATGCTTCGGTAACTTAGTTGTGTAAGGTCTGTGAGCATTATAGTGTACTTGTGCGTGAGGCACTCAGCACTCGCGGTTATGATTAATAAATTCGAGCACTTCTGTTTTTCCCATAGTAGTACCTAGAAGTTGCTACGTGCTATCGTGCTATAATAATAATGGTAGTTTTGCTATGCGTTTCGTTACATGTATAATGACTAGCAACTAGTTGTAACAAATCATGGCTCGGTTTTATACAATGCGAGCATTTCTTTGCATGTAACTTTTTTGTTACAACGAAGATGTTTTATTGATGATAGTGATCCACATAAAGATTTTATTCAAGCCCACGGGCTTGTGGATGGTCATTAAATTTTATATTACCTGCTATAATTTAGCTAGCCGGTTTCTCGAATTTTTTATCATGTGGCCTATACATCCTGTTCAAATATTCATGGATTCATATTGTCGCACACAGCTGCTATAGTTGTCTATGTGGCTGACCGGTTAAATAAATTACGAGGTATCGTCAATGGTTTTTGACTGATGACTTTCGATATGAATTTCCTGTTTTTGAATTTTTAAAGTGTTTTTAATTGCCTCTCTAGAATTACCCGTCTGTGCGCGGTTTACGTTGTGCATTTTAAATTTACATTTTCGGCCGGCTGGAATTGTTTTGTTGGCTCAGGTATTGTTTCCGTTATGTCACGTCCCCTGGGCGTTGTTTTATCTACGTGCGCTCATCTCCGGCAAGTTGATTTACTGATTAATGTATCATTCCATGATTCATTACGTGTCATCGTATGTAGTTATTAGAGTTTAAATTTATTTCCCTATAGGTTCAGAGTGCAAGCTTTCGTATCATTATTAAAACAAAAACTTTCAACTTTCTCGTCGTGCAAAACGTGTTCTAGACTCTTTTTTACAAGCCATTCAAATATAGGAGACCTGTTAGTAAACGCTGGCACGTTTTGCTTCGCTAATGTATTTTATTTGTGGCCGGAGGGTTTAGAAACGCAAGGAGAAAGAAATGAAAATATTGTCTCTCAGGGTAATGTTGGTAGAGACACCTTGTTGACCTATCGCATAGCCATTCTAGAATACTCCATTAGTGACATTGTTATGCAGCAGAGGTTCACTGCCCCGCTGCAAGCCCTAACCCATGTTTAACCAGATTGCTTTTGCATTAGAGAGCTGCATGTGGCGTTCATAATGCCGTAGGACCATGGTAGCCGTGCATAAAGGTGACTAGACGTGCCCGCCCACCTACCTCTAAAGTTGACCTGTCTCTGCCAGGTATTATCCCAACCCTAACCTATCACCCGCGCAAGGTCTCCGAATGATTGTGTGTGCCGGGCGTGCTTTGGTTTTCTCGTCGCACGAAATCTTTTCGGTGCCTGGAGCAGACGTAAGTATCACAGGCGATCTGTGTCGGTGCGTGGCGCTTCTTTACCTGTGCCAGGTGTGCCAGCCCCGCGACACGCGTTCCTGCTTGACATCTGACGGATCTCGCCCAGATGTGTGTGGGTAAATGTTCGTTCTGTAGGGCCTACGTTATCGTATCTTTCATCCCTGTCTGCTAAGCTCGTTCGTGCACGTTGTTCCTTTGTATTTATTCCACGGTGGTCGAATGTTTCACGTATGTTGTTTATTATTGGGGACATTCAATAATCTTGTTGTAAGCGCGGCTGTTATTAAATACACATCAGTAGCAATATAAGGCATCTACAGTGGTCTGGCCTGCAAGGTACACATTTTTTTTTTGTAGTTTCATCCGCATTTTTGCCCTGTCAACAGTGTCTAGTCGACAGTAGTAATTTTAGGATTACTTTTTTTGTGGAAATGAGGAAATAAATTCAATCAGCATTTGGTGAGCACGTGGATTGTATTCCACCATGCGATACAGCGACAGCTATTTATCCCCATGCTACGTTTATTGTCATTATTTTAGCCGTTGTATTGTAGCTATCAAACTAAGCTAGAAGACTCGGTGATAATAAACACGTTATAAATAAATACATTGCAACTCATATATATATATATATATACATACATAACATGAAGTTACTAGAACTGTCAGCACTTTGCTAATAGAAAGCAACATTTGTCTTGTCGCGGGGAAAATGGGAAGCGCATAAAAGTATACGAGTGGTGCGGTTCGATTATCATTCAGGCTCACATGGTTCACAGGTTCACATTATGTTTCCTTCGGACCATGTATCGGTGCGATCAGAAGTAGATAACTAGTATTATCTACTTCTGGTACGATGTATCACACTGGTTTTCGCTGATGATGGTAGAAAAATTGCCATGTTGCAATGAAATAGCTGACAGTAGCAACATTCTGACGCGTCGCTCTGGTTCCGTAGCGTCAGCTGTCTGGTAATTGCATGTGACAGGACACGGTCGGCCTCACCCCTGGGGGGGACCAGTAGCGCACCCCCCCCCCCATACACACCGACCCCCCGGGGTGGTACCGTAGGCTCAGGTCGATGGTGACGCGGTGGTCAACACGATCGGTGGGAACGAGTGCGCTTGCAGCATTGCAACGAACCACTCCATTGTATTGCGCGCTCATCTGTGCCACTGACTGTCGCTTAGTATCAGACCAACCGGGCAAGTAGTTGTTGTGACATGTGTTCGTGCGTTGTAGGTACATAGAATGCTCTCCCTGCGTTAGCCGAGGCGCATTGCCCCGTGCGTTTGCACTTTCGTCTCCAGGCTAGGTTATTCAATATTTAGAGGATGCTGGGCTGCATCACATGCCTGACTTTCTTGTCGCTCAGCCAGGCGTGCATTAATCGAAGTAGCGTAGGCGTTCTTGTTTTAGCACTGCTAATGGGTCCGTCTTAAAAACCGTCTTGAATATTGTAACTGCGCGTGCAAAAAACGTTTTTTTAGAACGTTTCCGTCTGTGCTAAAGTGCGTTCGTGTTTTTTTTGCAGTTTGCTGCCAGTTCCTAAAATATCCAGTGGCGAAAGAAGTCGAGAGAGGTGGAAACGTTACGTTGGAATGCCAGTTTGACCCCACCGTCTTCAATGTCAAGAGCGCCAAGTATGTATGCAATAATGGTGGAGAAATGCACCGTGTCGGATTAATGCTGAACTGCGTACTTGTCGAAAAACATAACTCGATTCGGAAGTTGAGTGTCAAATTAGCACTTTGCTAATGGCGTGTTAGATTTGTACGACTGTTTGTGTAGACCGTCGTTTCTGCGTGTGTGTTTTTGACCTAGTCTAGCGTAAAGTGTGCATGCAGTTGACAGCTTTAGAAGTTACAGGGCTTTGTAGGCCTGAATGTTTTTATACATGTTTATTCATGGTGTCGTATATTTGGTTGAAATCAGTTGGTTCATTAGGTGCTTGACTTGTAAGAGTGATTAATATGTAGATTGCGCTTACTACGGCTTTCCCACCGTCAGTTTATCTGTTGATGAAGTCTGTCTCAATAGAATATCCTGTGCGTAGAATTTTAAGCATTCAGTGCTCAAGTAAAATATTGAATAAATAGAAGTACCGCGTGATATCATAGTAAACTCTCTAGATCTTCCCATATCGATTTCGTCCCTTCACTTGTTTATCACATCCCTTTCCCCGGCTCCCTATTTGCTAGAAACTATACTTCACGTCTTTACCTTCACATCCAGTATTAATTCCAGACATGTTAAAACGCATATGCGATGCAAGAGTGATATTTCTGTGACCCTGTCGATTACCTTGTGATATGGGCATGCAGAATACTGACTGCTATAGTGCTATAGCCCTCGCTGGCTGCCTGTGGCAGAGCCAATGAGGGCTAAAGTACTAGAGCCGGTGGCACACTTACACCGATTACGGACCAACAAGTTCATATTTGGCGTTTTAACATGTCCGTGGTAGATAAACAGCACATGCAATCTGCATTGACCCATGCTAAGTGTTTTTATCTCATCAATAATGTGTCTTGTTTTAGTGTGGCCGATGGTATGGTCTGGTAAGTGTAGACACACATTTTTATTTTGCTCATGACATTCTCGCTGCTTGCCTGCATGTGTGTGTTTGAGTGTTTCTGACACCGACTACTATACTATACCAGTATTTATACTTCAAGATATCGAATCACTCAAAATATATTGATTTGTTATTGCAAACCATCACGTTATTCACTGCTTTATACAATGTTTTTACGATGATATCCAGCATTTCTTATACATCTAATGACAGTGTGTCTGACTCAATACAAGCGCGAAATAAAGGAGGCTATGCAATGATAATTTTTACCACGTACACATTCTATATTGTATATTAGAGAAATGAAGAGTAGTATACATAACCGTTTATTGCCATGTCTGAACTACATACATAGTGCCTGTTAATGTAGTCTTCGTTATACTGCGTTTCTTGATTCTTGTTCGTTATCTCGTCTTGCATTTTGAAAAGCGAATGGCATTAGTGTTGTTGTAGTAAACCTATGTGTGGCTTCATATGATATGCTGTATACCGTGAGTTGACTTGTGCTGCCATCTAGTGGCGGTAATAATTCCAATCTGATTGTTGGGAGAACAACTTGCATGTTCAACGTTCAGCATCAGCAGCTTAGAGACACATATGAATAGAACTAGATTTACTCTATTGGTACGTCTTACGTGGCATTCTACAATAACCCCTGACTAGGAATCAACATTTCATACGTTGATAGATAATCTGAATGGGCATACAATACGATCCATCGTAAAACCGAAAAAAATTGGATATGAATACTATCGCTACGACACCAACATTAAATTAACTATCATCAATCGAGGTCGGCGTATGTTGACGTCTACGGTTCGTCTACGGTGCGTCGTATGTGTGTGTCACACAAGTCGTTGCGTGTTGCAGGAGGTACTGGTACCGCTACGATGGCATGCTCATCGACGACACATTCCAGCTGGAACGCTACACGCTGCAGTCGAACGGCGACACGGGCGCCTACAACCTGCGCATCGCACGCGCGCAGTACGCCGAGGACAACCAGCGCTTCTCGTGCCGCGCACAGCTCGCTGCTGGCAAGGTGCACCAGAGCGAGCCAGTGCAGCTCACCGTGCTCAGTAAGTGTGCGCGCCTGCGTGCTTGCGTGCGTGCGCGCGTGCGTGTGTGTGTGTGTGACAGTATGTGTGTGTTCGTGTGTGCGTACGTAGGTGTGTGTGTGTGTTGGTGTTGTGTGTGAGTGTGCGTGTGCGTGTGCGTGTGCGCGTGCTTGCGTACGTGCGTGTGTGACAGTATGTGTGTGTTCGTGTGTGTGTGTGTGTGTGTCGTGGTGCTGTGTGCGTGCGTGCGTGCGTGCGTGCGTGCGTGCGTGCGTGCGTGCGTGTGTGACTGTGTGACAGTGTGTGCATGCGTGTGTGTATGTGTGTGTGTGCTAGCATGCGTGTGTGCGTGTATACTGTTCATAGTATGTGCACACTGGGAGGAGATGGTATGGACATACTAACAGTATTACCCTGTATCAGGGGTTAATAATGACAAAATTTGTCATTTACCCCTGCCCTGTATATATATAATTGCATAAACTATCTGTGTGTGTGTTTAGCGCCACCTGGTGACCCGAGGGTGACGGTAACTCCGAGCACGACGGTAAACGAAGGCGACAAGCTGAGTCTGCGGTGTGAGAGTGCAGGAGGCAGTCCACCTCCTACCATCGTGTGGTGAGTGCCTCACTATTGTGTGTGAAACCTATTGTAAATACCTGTTGTACTAAAAATAATGAGCTTGATTTGGTTTTAAGGCCCTAAAATATATTGAGTGAAAGGGGTGAAGGATTCTTTTTAAGGAAAGTATAGTAAAAAGTTTGTATGGTTGGGTAGAATGTAAGTGAAAATCTGGTTATTTATAAATAGCGATGCAGATCCGTATACATTTAAACGTGTGTTAGCGGATCTCTTTAGAGCGGACATCTCTCAATAAAGGACACCCTTGGCGTTTTCCTTGTGCAGTAATTATACAGAGAAACCATCTCCATGGGCACCTGTTCTAAGTTATGTAAAGAACACTCGGTGTTTTCCCCGTGTGGCAGTCATACAGTGAAACGACTTCCCTGAAATGGGCACTTCTCCTAAGTTCTGTACACGACACTCAGGGGTTTTCCATTACTTGAGCGACTCGTACAGTTTTGACTGTATGCGTGCTGGTATACGCAGCAGGGATGCGTGTTGACCGATGGCTACTCTCACGCAGGTACTCTCCGAAGGGCGTGTCCGTTGACGGCGTGTACGTGGCGGGCAACGTCAACAGTCCGACGGTGAGCACGATTACGATCGAGGCGTCGCGCGACGACCACCGGCAGGAGTACCACTGCGAAGTCTACAACAAGGTCAACGAGCAGAACAAGAAGGTCATCAAGCAGGGCCTCAGCGTGAAATGTAAGCGCGCCGCAGTTGCAGCAACCACATCGGGGGGTGGGGGAGCATGGTCGGAGCAACCACATCGGGGGGTGGGGGAGCATGGTCAGAGCAACCACATCGGGGGGTGAGGGAGCATGGTCGCAGCTACCACATCGGGGGGTGGGGGAGCGGAAGGGAATTGTTCATGAGAAATGTAAGACTGTGGATGCGGTTGGTTGTGTTGATGTAATGCATGTCGTTCCGTCACATATTAGTTATGCCCAGTTAGGTATCCCACAGTGCTGTCGGGTATTTGGGGGAGAATAAATGGCGGTCTGAAAACGCGCAGGTTTTGGTTTTTCCCGCTTTAACCGAACTACTGATTAGTTACGCAAATCTACAGTTTGCGTTTAGTCGGGATCGCGTATTGCGAGTCGGTGACGCGTGCGATGTGTTTCTTGGCTTCAGATCAGCCGTACGTGACCGTGACGCCTGAGTTCAAGCCGCTGCGGCTGGAGCTCGGCTCGCAGAGCGCGCTCACCTGCGACGTGAACGCCAACCCTCCCGCGCAGTACGTCAAGTGGTTCAAGGATGGCTCGGAACTCGCCGACACGACCTTTGTGAGTACTCGACCTTTAACCTGAGCAGCCGGCGTCGATTGCGACTGCGAGAGTGCTTCACTTTTCCAGAGATTTTTATCGGATTTGTGAACGTTCGTGCGACTGTAGTCTTACGGGGTGTTTTTACCGAGGCGTTCACTTTTCTCTCTCCCTGTGTTAGAGTAAGTTCAGCGCATTGTGCCTCGACAATGTTTCCCTGCCTGTGATTGGGTTAATCACATGCCAGCGTCCAGCTGTGAGATGCTCTCATAGTAAACTGCAAGAGGCCAACAGCATCTAGCAATAGCGTACCAATGTAGCACGTAGCATATGGTTTTTCCAGTCAACCCTGAGGCAGTGCAAATATTAATTATTTATACTATTGATTGCCATTCTCTGTGTTCATGTAGCTGCGTTAGCCTGTGTACGTACGGTACTGCGCACAGAGCTTAATTTATTCTATTCAGCTCGTTTGTAAAGTACAATGGGAATGTAGAATGAGCCTGTGGCACGCACTTACCAAGATGCCTGTTTTGATTTTGTGATGCTCTGATTGAGATGCACTGTTAACAAGTACTGCTGCTCCCTCTGGCAAATGGAGTAAACGAAGCTTTTACCGATTACTAACGAATGCTGTTTTTGTGAATGCTGTAGTGTTGCTGATTGGAAAGTCGATTTTTTTAATCTTTGAATGATTATTTATTTGAGATGCACTACGTAGAGCGTGCACAGGCCAACTTGTACAATGTGTGAAATAACAGTCATAAAAGCATCGAGTCAAAACAATTCTGAAAACACAAAATATATTTTGTAGCAGGGTATGATATGAATCTATGCACCCCTTGGTGCTGTGTCTTTTGTTTAATAAGGCAAGTGTTAGCAAATGCTTGAAAATAATCTGCTATACCGTCCCTCTGCAGGATTATGCATTGAACCCAGTGACGGTGGACCACACAGGTGTGTACAGATGTGAAGCCACTAATCACCTAGGAACTGGGAGAGCCGAAATCACCATAGAAGTGCAGTGTAAGTGCAGTTTCTTATTGATTGTATGAATAGTAACAAGAGTGGATAATAGAGATCTCTATTATCCACTCTTGATAGTAACAATCCTATATATCATCTCACTGTATATCATGACGTCAAGTTCAGATGTAAGACGATGCAAGGTCGAACATAGACTTAGATGCAAAACATAAAATTACTGGGCCCACCCACTCACCAGGTAAAAAAATAACTGGGTGGCAAAAGTTGGATCAATTGTAAAACCTAACAACTTTTTAAAATGTTCCAACTTCTAAACATTGGATGTAAAAGTTGGTTCAGGTTGGCTGATGTGCACGGTGTTCTTGCAGACGCACCGCGAGTGAAGACACCAGAGCGCATAGAAACCAGCGAGGGTGGTAACGTGGAAATAACATGCAATGTGGACGCGTATCCCGCCCCAGCGAAAATTGAGTGGTGGAGGGATGGGCTGAGAGTTGCAGAAATCGCCACGCTGAAGATCGCAAAGATTGTGAGGTAAGGAAGTGATCAGCATCTGAACTTACTTAAACTGGATGCCATCTGTTGGTGGATAGAGGTAAAGAAATGTAACAGTTTTCTTTATTCTTTAATTACTATAACTCATGGTTCACTCGTGGTCATTAAAGCATGGTTAGTGATCCGAATGAAAATACAATGAAACGACTGACTGCTCCTATGTTTCAGTCTAACAACTCTGTAAAGATCAGACTGGGCCACAGTATGCAGCTAAGCCTCTTATCTAAATGGGTAATTAACATTTGGGTTTACCATGCAGTAATTCTTATTCAAAGATGCATTATATGTAATCTCACTATCTCTCTGCAGAACACAAGGCGGCAACTACACCTGCAAGGTGACAAGCTTCCTCCAGCTTTCTCTAGAAGCAGATCCCGTGACACGAACGTCAGAGTCGCACACATATGTGCAAGTCAGCTGTAAGTGCCATGTGCAAACCATTATAAGTCTCACGTATAACTGGTTTAATGCTTCATGAGGGCAGCCAGTGTTTGTTGTGGCACCATTTAGTTTTAGCTCCTCTCTCTCTCTCTCTCCCTCTCTCTCTCTCTCCCTCTCTCCCTCTCTCTCTCCCTCCCTCCCTCCCTCCCTCCGTCCCTCTCTTTCTCTCTCTCTCTCTCTCTCTCTCTCTCTCTCTCTTTTCCTTTATTGTTTCTCTCTCTCTTCTCTCTCTCTCTCTCTCTCTCTCTCTCTCTCTCTCTCTCTCTCTCTCTGTCTGGCATTCTCTCATGCTCAGTCTCTCCACCTCTCTCTTTTTCTTCTCGCTCTCCCTTATTAATCATCACAAAACATGTCACTGTAACCACATGAACACGTGGCATTGCATGCCCATGGAAATCAACACTGATAGCCATCATAAAGATAAACCGATCGCGTGCGACGTGTGTCCAAGTATCTCATGTAACGATCCCACCTTTATGTTCTAGACAAGCCCGGCGTGGCTGTGATCGAATCCGTCGAGGCCGTGCTGGTGGGAGACAGCCCTGTGATATCGTGCACAGCGACAGACTACGGCGTGCCGCGCGGCGAGTTTGAGTGGCACAGGAGTGGCGAGACGAATGTGATCTGGCGCGGCAGCTCGTACCAGCCCGGCTCGGTGCGGCTGTCCGACAACGGAGCGTACGAGTGCGTGCTGCGCAACAGCCTGGGACTGGGCACGGGCGCGCACACCCAGCTCACCGTCAACCGTGAGTCACGCTGCCTAGGCTACTCTCGTTACTACTGCCGAGGCTACCCTCCCTCGTTACTGCTGCCGAGGCTACCCTCCCTCGTTACTGCTGCCGAGGCTACCCTCGTTACTGCTGCCGAGGCTACCCTCGTTACTGCTTCCGAGGCTACCCTCGTTACTGCTGCCGAGGCTACCCTCGTTACTGCTGCCGAGGCTACCCTCGTTACTGCTGCTAGCTGTTCACATTCGATCCAGCGTGTCTTTTTGTCACGCGTGTAAGTTGTGTAACGTTGACTGTATTAGCCAAACAATTTGACAGTGAGGAGTACGTTTAATGCTCCGTCATTATAATTCTGCTTAGGTTCACGTTGTTGTTTTTTTGTGAAGCTTGTTTTTTTCCTTCTTAATCTTGTATCATTGAGTGAAACCTGTGTGGCATGTATAGATTAAATCAGGAGTGACTAAAAACAATTTTGTTTTTATTCACTCTTGATTTAATGCTGATTCTCATAGCCTGTATTGTGGCACATGAGCATGGACACGAGACTCTATTGCCTGGCTCTATCAGTGTGACAATACTAAGCCATCGTGTGAGCTGCTAAATATTCTGTAACATTTGCATTTCAGAGCTGCCTGAGCTAAATGCCTTCCCGCCAGCAGTGATCAAACAGAACGAGTCGTACACGGGTTTGTTCGTGACGTGTGGAGCCCGAGGAAAGCCTGCGCCCGTCATCCAGTGGTTCAAGGACGGACAGGAACTGACCATCGGTCAAGAAGGCACGAGGCTGTTCACGTCGGTCATCAACACAGTAAGTGTAACATCGTTGTAGAAGCCCGATGTGGGTGAACATAAGTGTAGGTGCACACGTGAATTTATATATCCTTTCATTCTTGTAAAACATTTAATTGGAGTACATTGTGGTTAAGGTTTGCAGTAAGTACAATGTATGTCGTGTTATGTCTGTACACTTGTGCACATGTCAAATCAGGTAGTGTTGGATTAAAACACAGTTAGGTTTTTGGGGACCTGTCCTCTTGCAACTTTAACATCAATGCCCTCGTCAAAGGTTTTTTTACGTGAAAAGCAATAAAGATTAGACTAGCGCATGAGAACTCTTAGGAGAGCGAATATCTGCACTATAAACGTTGAAGATTCCTCTGCCATGTAATGCACTTACCAAAATCTTGTGTGCGGCACATATCTCAACCTTTTAACACGCTATGCGCAGATTCAAAGGGGATGCAGCAGGCGCATGCCCTCTCCTTGTTTTTTCCAAGCAAAAATCTTTTAATGTATACTGTTGTGGCGTGACTTGTCCAAGTCAAAGCCAATAACTTCATGTTAGACGTCAAAAATAAGCGTGATTTTTTTCAAAAAAATTGTCTAGAGATGATTGGACACATTTTAGATGAATAAATGTCATCAGATACATAGGAAATTGCATCTACGGGGTTTCATTCAAAAAATGTTTCGGGGGGAAGGCTTCTGGACTCCACGCCATGGGTCTCACAACCTCGTTGCTTGTGAGGAGCCCTCTTTCTCCAAAAATCCTGGGTCTGTAACACAATAGGGGGCAGAATGTAGCATGTGTAATGTGGCGTGAACGTCGTCTGTCTGCAGACACAGGTGGACACGTACATCAGTGAGACAACAGGCACGCTGTGGTGGAGGGGGCCGTCGAGAGCTCAGCTGGACAAGCAGCGCAGCGACAACGCGCTCATCCGCACCGATAACGGCAACTACGAGTGCCGCGCAATCGGCGCCGGCAAGGAGGTGTCACACACGCTGCGACTCATCGTCAACTGTGAGTGCACGCAGCTAATTCTGTCATACGATTTCACTGCAAGTCAGTTCACGTGACACGTGTCCTGCGTGTTTTCGACATTTTGCGTTTCGCGTGAAATTTTCCAGCGCCTTTCTCGTATCACAGTTTTTGTGTATTGATGGTTAAAGTTAATGCTATGACTGCGCTCACGCAGTACAGAAATGTGCAGCGATTTCACCTGTTTCTACGTCACTGTTGATTATAGTAGGCTCTGGTTTTGGGTGGTGATGCAGCAGTGTAGCGAGTATAATATCTAACCCACATGTTTCTTATGTGGTGCAGATGGTGTGGTGTGTGGTTTAGTTAGTTTCTAAAGTTGTTTATGTGAAATGGGGCTATGCTAGTTGTGATGCAAGTCGAATTTTTTTACAGTTTAAACGGAATGGCACAGTAGTAAACGCCTAACAATTTCACAATTCACTCCTGCTAATTCACTTTTTCTGTACACATTGTTCTGTAGGATGCTAACAATTGTTTTATGTTCTGCAGTTGCACCTGTCGTCGTGCAAAACATAACAAAGTTTGCATACACCAGTGGAGACACGGGAACTGTGGTGTGTCACGCACGAGCTGTGCCAGAGCCCGTTTTCACCTGGTACAAGCAACAGGGTGGTCATGAGATACAACAGAGTGACCGCATCTCACTGAATACCGCCCAGCCCGATGCTGATGACAAGTACGAGAGCCGCCTGGTGGTGAAGGGCGTAGACAAGGATGACTTGGGCAATTACCGATGCCGAGTGAAGAATCTGATGGGAGAGACAGAGGTGGTCTTAAAGCTGCAGCAGAAAAGTAAGTGAGAAGGAGCTACTATTGAGTCTATCACGATTTATCATCAGTGAGGTTGCAATCTAACGAGTATGTTCTTTTAACTGATAACTGAGCAGTGTTCTTTAGAGCTATTACTTTTGAGACCCTACATGCATGTTCCACTTTTTGTCAATCGCAGTGCGTTTTCAAGTGGCCTTCATAGCGATACGCTGATCTGTCTTACATGTGTACGTGCAGAGATCAGCCATGGTTGTAATGTGCTTGGCAATGTTTGCGTTTATTCTACAGGCCGACCAGACCCCCCTGTAGCATTGAAAGTGGAAAACGTGACATCCGACTCTGCCGCGCTGAAGTGGGAACCCGGTTTTGATGGCGGTGACATGCAGAAATTTGTCGTCAAGTTCAACTGGGGTGACCACGTCAGTAACATGGATGTTGATCCTCCAACCGCAACGAGGTTCACCGTAGAAGGTATCCCCATCACCATCTATCACCTCATGATACTGTGTTCGTATGCGTTGCCACGAAGTGAACTTTGCCTTGCTTATTTGCTTTCCGAACACACGTCAAACTTTGCGAATGATGCTTGGATGCAACGCAATTAAGAAATTTAATTATATTGTTATATATATTTTAATTTTTTCTGACGTATACGTGCTGTAAGAACGAGAAAGTCAACGCTTTCCTATTATTATGAAATATTAATAATAATAATGAACCAACAAACGAAAAAGCGCTGAGTGACGAGCCTACGATGCGTTGCCCTCGGCGACGTGTTGCCGCTACCAACACGTTGCATCCACCGACGTGTGCGTCACCTCCCGTCTCGTCGTTGCAGGCCTGCAGCCGAGCACGCAGTATAACTTCGTCGTGCAGGCGAAGAACGCGTACGGAGTCAGCGACGTGTCCAACGGCCGGCTGCTGACGACAGAGGAGAAGCCATTCAGCCCCGATGACGTTGTGCTCGCTGACGTCGGCTTCAACGAAGTGAGCAAGAAGCTGAGCTGGTCGCCGCCACCCAGCAGCGCCAACCTGTGTGTCAAGGTCGAGAAGAAGCGCGAGAACGACTGGATGGTAAGCTGGTGGTGGTGGGAGAGTGTGTGGTAGGGAAGTGGTGGTGGCAGAGTGTGTGTGGTAGGGAAGTGGTGGTGGGAGAGTGTGTGGTAGGGAAGTGGTGGTGGCAGAGTGTGTGGTAGGGAAGTGGTGGTGGCAGCATCTGTGGTAGGGAAGTGTGGGTGGGAGAGTGTGTGGTAGGGAAGTGGTGGTGGCAGAGTGTGTGGTAGGGAAGTGGTGGGAGGTGTGTGGTAGGAAGTGGTGTAGCAGAGTGTGTGGTAGGGAATGGTGTGGGAAGAGTTGGGTAGGGAAGTGGTTGTGGGAAAGAGTGTGTGGTAGGGAAGTGGTGGTGGGAGAGTGTGTGGGTAGGGAAGTGTGGTAAGCCAGAGTGTGTGGTGAAGAGTGTGTGTAGGTGAAGGTGGTGGTAAGCAGAGTGTGGTGGTAGGGAAGTTGGTGGTTGGCAGCATCTGTGGTAGGGAAAGTGTGGTGGGAGAGTGTCTGGTAGGGAAGTGGGTGTGGGAGAGTGCGTGGTAGGGATGGTGGTGGGAGAGTGTGTGGTATGAAGTTGTGGTAGCAGAGTGTGTGGTAGGGAAGTGGTGGTGGGAGAGTGTGTGGTAGGGAAAGTGTGTGCAGCATCTGCTGGTAGGGAGTGTGGTGGGAGAGGTGTGGTTAGGAAGTGGTGTGCAGAAGGTGTTGGTAAGGGAGTGTGGAGCACGAGTGTGTGGTAGGGATAGTGGTGGTGGGCAGACGTGTGTGGTAAGGGAAGTGTGGTAGCAGAGTGTGTGGTAGGGAAGTGGTGTGGAGAGTGTGTGGGTAGGGAAGTGGTGGTGGGAGAGTGTGTGTAGGGAAGGTGGTGGTGGCAGAGTGTGTGGTGGAAGAGTGTGTGGTAGGGAAGTGGTGTACAGAGTTGTGTGGTAGGGAAGTCGGATGTGGGCAGAGTGTGTGAAGGGAAGTGGTGGTGCAGCATGTGTGGTGGGAAGGGTGGTGGCAGAGTCGTGGTGGTAGGGAAGTGGTGTGGCCAGGCATGTGTGGTAGGGAAGTGGTGGTGGGAGAGTGTGTGGTAGGGAAGTGTGGTGGGAGAGTGTGTGGTAGGGAAGTGGTATGGTGGCAGAGTGTGTGGTGAAGAATGTGTTGGTAAGGAGTGGTGTGCAGACGTGTGTGGTAGGGAAAGTGTTGTGGCCAGCATGGTGTGGTAGGAAGTGGTGGTGCAGAGTGTGTGGTAGACGAAGTGGTGTGGCAGAGTGTGTGGTAGGGAAGTGGTAGTTGGCAGAGTGTGCGACAGGAGAGTGGTGGTAGTAGTGCACGAGCACGGTCAATCATGAGAGCCTCAGATGAGATTCTAGTGCTCGTGGTCCATTACGACGTATTCCTGCGTAGTAGTACTTGGCCTTTAGCTATGCCATACATTAAAGACCCCTTGCATATATTTGTCTAGTATGTAAAACTACACGCACCAGCATTCACGAGTGTGCACGCAATGACCCACGTGACTGTGCTGTGTTTCAGCCAAATGGTCCGTGCGTGCCCATGTCCGACGGCTCGTTGTCTGTGGATGACTACACGTCTGGTACGGTGATGCGAGCGTCCGTGTGCATGTCAGGCTATGGCCAGTGCGGAACTCCGACCGAGGCGAAGATAAGTAAGTGCATACTGCAGCAACGTTTCTCACTCGTGTTCGCTCTCATATCGTCTCTGTGGTAATGTCCACATGTTGGCTCTCTAAGAGTTGCTCACTATACTACTACCCTGCCACTAAAGGCCGCCGCACACCAGCCGATTTTTCATGCGATTTGATCGGCCCGATAGAAATCAGCCGATATCGGGTAGGTGTGCGCGTTCATTTGTAGACGATTTTATTTTCATCGGGTGATCGTTCCAAATCAAACATGTTTGATTTTGAACCGATGAGCCGATGAGCCGATTTTAAGGCCGCTGCACACCTACATCGCTTCATCGCTTCATCGCTTCATCGTTTGTAAAATCGGCTGGTGTGCGGCGGCCTTAAGATGGTACTTGTGATTACGAATCTTTGATCTATATAATAACTTCTACTATCTCACCTCTGTTTACTGTACTTGTGCCTACACCTAGCCCCTTCGCTCAAACTACTATCCTTATAGTAGATATATATATATATATATATAATATGTGTGTGTGTGTGTGTGTGTGTGTGCGTGCGTGCGTGCGTGCGTGCGTGCGTGCGTGCGTGTCGATCTACAGATCTAACTACATACCATTACGTTGATATAATTCTAACCACTTTACATTCATATAACAGTGTACAAGTGTATAACAGTGTATAAGCAGGCCGTGGTGCAGCTAAACATATGTATTATGTATTATGTAACATTGTATATATGTATCACACAGTGTCATAAATATTTACAAGTTTATGACTGCATAGAATTACATTTTAAAATAATATCAAGAGCTCATAATAGAGATCTCTGTTATGAGCTCTTGATAATATCTTTACATAGTGATGTAGTTTATTTCGTGATACGTGTAAATCTGTTACTATTGTGTGATACCTAAGGTGTGTCTATGCACCTTTGCAGGCTACCTTGGTGTCTAGAGATTTCTTACTTCCAGTAACTAACACGATAGTGAGAGCCCCGAGCCACTAATATACCTTCTATTGCAGTGCTGAAGGAATTCCCCTATAAAGAGACACAGACTGTCACGTATGTCGACGTTGCTGTGCTGCTGCTGTGTTAATCCCCTTCTGTCTATTCCATCCTCTATCCGTCTGTTCTATCTGTCTGTCTGTGTAAAAGATGGCTAGCTGTCCATACCATCCTGTGTAGAAACTGATTGCTGTGGTTGACAATGTGTTTGCTGTTTTCATTGTCCTCTCCAATGGGGAATGCAACTTGCATCATGTTTATGTCTGGACTAAGACTGGACGTGTGGTAGCAAAGTTTTCACGAGCTCACTCACGCGCTGTAGATGCAATTACTTTTCCCTTTTATCGAAAATAATCTCAAACATTTCTCACATTCATATGAAAGGTGTAGTGTCCGTAGTCGAGTATGGTCGAGTATTATGGATAGGTGGTGGCTGTTAGATGAATCTGTTATCTCTGGAGTGTGGGTGCATCTGTGGGTTGTGCTGAATACATGTGCCGATATTGCCGTTGCGAGTCGTTGCTCCCTGATCGTATTGCATTCGCGCTCCTGCGCTCGCGCTGATGTCGCCTTGTACGTTGCCTTGCAGATTTCTACATGTACGTGCTCATTGTCATCGTCGTGCTCGTGGGTGTGCTGATCATCGTCAGTGTCGTCATCATCGTCTGCTGCTGCAGGAGGAAGTCTCGCACAAAGAAAGCAGCTAAAGGTAGTGCACCTTTCCTCTCCCGTGTGCAAGAGATAGAGTCGTAGTAGTAGTATGCCTAGCGATACAGACATGCACATGATGTCATGGAACAGCTGCGATGATATAGCTACAATAAAGATGCAATTAGCTGTAATTAAGTGTTACTGCATTCAGTCCTATAATCTGAGTGCACGTGATAACAGTGAGAGTAGTATTAAAACAGAAGTTTATTCGTGGACGTGGAGGTTTTTCACAAGGTGTTCATCAGTACACCTGTTTACCAAAGCATGCACACTGTGCGGGGTGTTGCACAATACAGTTCGATGTTTCATAATTATACAGCTGTAAATACATCTCTCTCCATCTCAGTAACACTGTTTCACCATTCGCACTAGGCGAAGCGTGTATAACAGATAAATGTATATATTATTATAATAATATCAGACGATAAATAACGTGGTATGTAACACGTGAGTATCTACGACAGCTAATGGATGTCGTGTGGTCAGTGCCAGCTACTCATCACCGTCGCGTTGTCGTGAATGACCGCCGCATCGCCTCGCTTCGATTCCTCTAACATGATGTTGTGCTACTGCAGCGAAGCAAGATTACGAGATGGAGGCAGCACACGCAAGAGCGCCGGCTACGTACTCGGTGCCGCCGCAATACGCCGACACCTCCATCCACAAGGGCGTCACCAGCGGCTCAATGGACTACGGTGAACCGCACAAGGACGTGCCCTACCACATCGGCAACGGCTACGGCAACAGCAGCGGCAGCGGCGGCGGCGGCTACGGCAACGGCAACGGCGGCTACGGCAATGGCAGTGGCTACGGCAATAGCAGCGGCAATGGGTATTACCCAAACTACAACGGAGGTAGGTTTCCGCGGCGACTGTGTGGTTCAAAGACCCGACCCAGAAGCTTGGGTTGAACAGCTAGGTGCATGTGTAATTACCATTGCCACTCGCCTCCTAGTCTAGTATTCACATTATTACGTATTACTTGGCTATTACTCCTAGCCGTTCGCGTCGTAACAGCTAAAGGAGAAACGAGAGAGCGACGTACAAGTTTCAGGCGTATGAGTGTGTGACGTGTGTTTGCGTTGCAGGGCCGCCGCCGGCTTACAATGGTCACGGCAGCACGGCGTCGGACATCTACAAGCCTGACCCGTGGGATGCCGAGCCACTGTTCAGCGACGGTGATCTCAACCGGCTGAATAACAGCCACATAGGTATAGGTAAAGTCAAACCTACTGCACTTTTCTCTTGTTCTCAGCCGCACTGCTTACTGCAGTATGAACGCATTGGGTGTGTGTACAGCCGGTTATCTATGATTTACAGCATATTGTGTCGCGTTGCGTTAGTACAGATCGCAAATTCACTGGTATGGTCAGTGAAATGATAAAATATGAAATGAACTGATTAAAATAGACGTTAGTAACGAGGTGAATTCATGGCAATGTTTATGGCAATATTTGGTGATGGTGATGTGTGTGCTATTTATCTTACTAAATACGCTGGCAGTTATAGGTGTGGTTCTAACCCCTACAACTGATTAAACATGTCACTTTAAACTAACAATGGTTTAACAACTACTGCTTTTTTCTCCTGTCTCTCTCTGTCTCTCTCTCTCTCATTAACACGTGAACACTACGACATAGTTCAGCACCATCGAGATAGACTTGTCTTATGAGATTAATTTCCCATTGCAGAAAATCCGTACTTGCACGTTAGTGGCCTGCCCAACCCTTACGACTACGAGGACTATGGCTCGCAGGCGCCCTCTACGAATATCACCTATGACAACAACAGCGTGCCGGAGAGTGGATACTCTACGCCAAACCACCCGCAGAGAAAAGTCATTCACGAAGTGATAGTATAGATAATATGTAAAGGTTCACTGTGCGTGCACATGTGCAGTAGAGGAGCGTTTGGAAGCTTGCAGGTCTGGTTCCGAATGCAGTCGGTGTAAATTCATACATGTAAACTAGATGCCTACTTACCGCTCAGCTCCGCGTGATGAGAGGCCAGAGAAGTAATCCGCGTGTGGCTAGTTACTGTGCTCTGAACTATATCGTGTTGGCCGTGAATCGTGGGCAGCAGTGTGCGCGTACGCACAGATTATTTATGTGCAGAGAGTAGAACTTAGTTCAGTAGAGGACGGATCAGATGAGAGGCCGGGTTGCATACGCGTCAGTGAGGTTGAGTTGCACCGGCCTGATGGGCAGACCAGATGTCAACGCAGTAACCTAATGTTGAGGCCAGATCTCAGGAGTATTGATGCTGAGACGTAAGGGAATCGATGACACTTTCTCGATGCTGTCTCGTAAGCGCAATGCACAATACACCCGGATAGCAAGATTAGATGCTTGTGAACATTGGTTGTCAGACAACTCGAATTTTAAGAAAAACGCCCATGGCAGTGGTCAGTACACAGTGTTCATACAGGTGAAATAGGACGAAAAACACCGAGAAGAAAGCATTGCATGTTTATGTCACAAGGCTGGATAGCAAATCATTTGCTGACAACGTGTATCTAATCACCAATGCATACTCCAATTGGTTTTGTTTAAGCTCAAAACAAAATAGTGGCATATATTGGAGAAGCCATTCACAAGATGCCAGACGAGAATTATGATCAAGCTACAATGATTAACGATGCTCGTATCTAAGGCCATATCATCAGTAACTGAGCTCGTAATGCAAGAATCCATACGTTTTTGTGCACTGCAAAGTTCCTGCACAGTCACCATGGGGCTAGCTAATATACATCCTGCATATCAGTTCTGATAAACTGCCATGAGCCCCTAGACACTTGGAATGTGCTATTAAACGTCTGATTTTAGTTTCCTTACGCCATTATTTTTCAAAGGTAGGTTGTTGAGAGATTTTTTACTTAATTTTTACCCAAATTTTAGTTTGTTTAAATCTGTTACTGGATTTATAAACATCTCTAACCATCTATTAAATGGAATGGCACATGCAGTCAAGCATTAGGCCACAAGAAAAACCTTAAACGGTCATGTCACACACAGTAGCAGCAGTGCTATTTTATGTGCACTAGTCAAACAAGGAGAAACTACTGGAGTAAAGGTGTTGTATATATGAATACATGAATACTCACTTAATCGATCTACTCTTCACTGTTGGAAGGCAATGTAAATAATATGTTTAGTTGTACAGTTGTACATTGTTGTACCGTGACTATTTTACGTTCGTTCTATCAAGTTCTAGGTAAGTTTTATCATCGCCATATTGGAAATTGTCTCGTCATTTATTAGTGTATTTTATGTTTTGTGTAGTAGCACATTCGTCACTAGTGCTTCTGTAAAGTTGTAATGTTTTACATATTTTTATACTTTGTGAGGAAGAGCATCTGCTGGCATTCTAATATACGATGATAGATGCTTACATGATTTCCCCGTACTCGTCGGCATTTATAACTAGATGAAGTTTTGTACAGTAAGTTGTTACAATTGCTGATGCTTTGTCGTCTGCATCACTTAGAGGCAACGAATCTCATAACAGATGTCATTATTGTGGATCATACATTTATTGCAATCTTGTGCTTTGAATGAATTTCCTGCTCATTTTGCACTGGTAAATTTATGTAGATGATACTCACACGTTCTACATAGTGAAATTACCAGCACAATGTTGTATGATTAGCATTCCAAGAAAATGAAATCGAAGCAGTGGTTATATAAAAAGATTCACTCATTTCATGATATTAATTTTCTATAGGATTTCTTTATATGGGTCTGGTACTGTCCGACGATAATTCAGTCTGACATTATCAGTGAAGTTACCGTGTCCAGTTTATTCGTTATTAGCTATTAAATTTCCATGTACAGTCAGTGTAGAAATACAGCTGATAACCAACAGAATCAATAAATAAACCAGTTATGACCGATTAATTATGAACACAGTTCTGCCATTAGCCACATTTTGCAATGTGTAAAGAATTTCTTATGTAAATTTTTTATTGAGATTATACTAGCTAATGTGAATGACAGCTGACAGGTTCAAGGTGAGAGGAATATTTTGTCAGTCTTACGATACACTTGCTATCTTATATGTCTGTATTTGATGTACCATACTCAATCTAAATAAATCTTTTATACAGCTATAAATTTCTGGGTTAAACCTATTTGCACTAAATATTGCAGCAGCATTATGAAGCATGGCACAATATACATATGAAAACAACCAAGTCAACTGGAAAAATTCATGCGTGCAGGCAGAGCAATTGAATCAAAAAATCACCTACCAACCAATAAATCAATTTTTTTTGTTATCTTCCTTTTAAGAGTTTTGGCTTACCAAGCATGATATGTTCATGTAATTTATCACAAGTTGTGAAGTGTTTGCAAGCCACATTCATAATACAAGTTGGATCATATATTTTCTATTTAATATATGGTAGTTTAATAGCCATATTTACACAAGCAGCTTTGCACCTGGCCAGTTGGCCTACTCCCATTTCGTCTACTCTCAGAATGGGCAATATTCCCATTTCGCCTAATTCCCATTTAATCTACTCTCAAAATCGGGAATAGTGCCATTTCGTCGTAGTATTGATATTACAACAAATACCAGGAAAAATTTGTGTGGATGCCACTCCGTCTACTCGATGTATGCTAATCAGAACCATATATTACATTTATAAATGATTATTTAGTGGACAAACTGATGGTAGACAAAATGGGAATGGGGTGGAGTTTTAGTGTAGACGAATTGGGAGTAGGCGAAATGGGTGTAGACCAACTCGGAGTTTTGCTATAGACGAAATTGGAATTCTGCCGTAGGCAAAATGGGAGTAGGCCAACCGGGCATAAACCATAGCTATATATACTCTGCACATGATTACACTACACTAAACACTAATACTACTAGCAAATGCCCGGCAAAGTCTGAAATAATATTTAACAAATTTTCTCACAATAGTGCCCTGAACATGCAATGATTATAAAGATTTAAATAACTTTTTCACTGAAACATGATCACTGACACTGGGATTATCTACATATTTTACATCATATACATGCCCAATCCATAACCTATACTCTGATTGTGAACACTGGGGCAGTGGTGAAACAAATGAACAGTAGCTACTCATACTGAGAACATAAAGGCCTAACTGCAAGTATAAAATTAACTACATGTATAAAGTAGGTATACACACATACCCTTGTAGATATTTGACATATTTATGTGTCATAGATATGCACAAATGAATTCGTGTACATGTATGCATATGCATACTGGCACATTATACCCAGCCAATCTCTCTCTCTCTCTCTCTCTCTCTCTCTCTCTCTCTCTCTCTCTCTCTCTCTCTCTGTCTCTCTCTCTGTCTCTGTCTCTGTCTCTCTGTCTCTGTCTCTGTCTCTGTCTCTGTCTCTGTCTCTGTCTCTGTCTCTGTCTCTGTCTGTCTCTGTCTCTGTCTCTGTCTCTCTCTCTCTCTCTCTCTCTCTCTCTCTCTCTCTCTCTCTCTCTCTCTCTCTCTCCCTCTCTCACACTCTCTATCTCTCTCTCTCCCTTTTTTGGTGACACTGATAGTTTTAACTTATAAGCCATTCATAGAATCTTGCTGAAACATCACCACCTGCTGCCCGAATTGTCTGAAGCCTGATGCCCGCGCCATTTTCCGACTATTTGCTACTTTATTCAGTTCTTTAAGTTTGTTTGCAAGCGATGCTCTGATGGCTGAAGCATGAATCGATGGGCCATATTTCTGGCAAACGTGTTCTGAAATCAAGCAAATCGAACAATAATCTCTATAGATACAAATAGATTCTTTTAAAGATGTATAAGTAGTCCACACAGCTGCTTCCACGTTTTTGTACAATTCGGAGATAAACTTACCAACCACAGCATCAACTTTACAAGGATCTAGCCCGGCCTTCGGTTTGGAATCCTTGAAAGCATTTGATTTCTTTCCAGTAAGACTCTTCCCTATTAACTCATGTGGTTCAAACACAAGTTGTAGTAGGCATCGAGCATATGAAGTCGCAGACTTTACATTCGCTAATGCCAACAGACTGGTTTCGTCGAGCAGAATACCCCGTCCAATGTCAACCTTTAAGGAATACGCAGTAATCATAAACCAAATGTGAGGCTGTGTTCATTTTTAAAATTCACATGAACTTTAGTAGATCATATCAGTAAGAGTAACAGATGTTTTACAGGTTATAGAAATGTCCCAACATATGATAATGGAAAGTCTATACTGTAATATAACCCATTTTAGTAATACATTTATGGTTGTTTATGAGTTTAAAAATATTTGACGTAACTTTAAATAGATAATATATTTACTAGCTAACCACAATACTACAGCACTGACAATCACCTGCCAGGAAGCACTTAAAATATTCGTGTTAACTTACTTTGGTAATTTCTTCATATTGCTCTGCTGAAGGCATGGTCTCATATTTATAAACTGTAGTCGGCTCCTATAGCAGATAACACATGTGTCATCAACAGTTGAATTTGAACTGCATGTGTTATATATCATACACGTACATTCTGTGAAACAGTTGTCAACATGGACTGCTTATCTCCAATTGCACTATTATGTATTAATAAGATAATATTTAATACCCCCAGCTGTGGGGTGAACAATTCTAATTATAAAGCTGAATAAAATGCAGTAGGCATTCACAAGATGAAATAATCTCAGATGATGGCAGTCTCAAACATGATCTCTTTATCACTTCTCTCGATTTGACACATCAACATTTGATTTCCCCTTATTTAAGGTATATGTCTGATCAGTCAGGTACTGGATTAGGTACATAGTAGGTAGAGTGCAGGTCAGGGTGGTAGTACATTAGACATTGATTTTATCATGCACCCCGTTTCATCACAAACCACCTTAATCCAGCAATTGCCACACAGACTAGCCAAACTTAAAGGGACAGTAGCCTCTAGGATTTTACTGCATACAACTGTACTTACTGTATAACAAATCGTCTATACCCACATGTATTTGTCACCAGATACTTAATTAATTATTTACACATCAACGCTACGAAATTTGAACGGCGCCATAACACTCGCGACCGTGCTGCCACCCTGAAAAAGTTGCGTATTTGCATTTTTATTTTGCAGGTAAATGACCGAGGGCTAATCACAAAAGTGCAATTATATTTATACCTAAATGCTATTTAACCGAACGATATTCATTTTAGGGCAAATTTATCCATATTATAACTGAAACTATATGTCGTTTATAAGATATTACAATCCTTTTGCTTTTAAATGAATAAATAAGAAATACCCTCGGTCTGTAGCCCTTGGCTGGAAAGTGGTTTTGCGCAACTTCTCAGATCGTGCGCTTTGAGTGGCGCCACCGTCGTTGTAATCAAACTGTAGTCGTTAGTTTTAAAACATTAAAAAAAAATATTTCTAATGGTGATTGAACCATGAAACTTTTTATGTAGCGCAATTATAACCTAAATTAGCTGAAAATAACCCTAGAACCTAGAGGCTACTGTTCCTTTAATATAAAACTATGAGATTTGAGTTTTTAGAGCAATGTGTATCAATTAGAACAGGTCTCCCGTTGATAGTTTTTGTCCCTTTTGATTAAGTACATATTACTAAATGGTTCTCAAACTACTGTATACGCCATATTTTTCGCCTACAGATATTTTTGCAAATTCAGACTTGACGGCCAATTTCGCCAGTGGTTAATTTCGTGGTCGGTGAATTATGAATTATTCGGTATGAATTATTCGCGTGTTGATATTTTCGCGGTCTGGGACGCGTTCGCGAAATTCGCAAAAATTAAACCACTGTAAAATATACAGCGTATACAGTATACGTTTTCTCAAATTCATATATACTTCCTTCAGAGAAGTAAGCCCACTAGGACTCACACATCATTTATAATAATTTCACATGATGATCTCAATAGTTTTTTTTGTTATAACTGCATTGATATAGAAACTAACCTGAACTTGCGGCAGTTGACTTTCCTCAAAACTGTAAGCGGAAGAGAACTTGACAAAGTCATCGTGAATGCTCTTTAGTGACTGCACCAAAATCCCAGCATCTTAAAAATTTTGGTATAAGCAAGTAAGTCAGAAAGCCTCAGAAGGTATCACATTTCTATGTACATACTGATGAGATATTTTGAGGACTGTAAATTTTCCCTATTTATTTCTGTTTTACTTCACGCAATGAATGTCAACTAAGTAAGTACACAAATTCATCCCTTTACATAACCCTTACCATAACAACATCATTATTTGTATACTCTCGCTTACCAGAAACATCCTTATAATGTTTCAACTCTTTTTCCAGTGCCTTATTTCTTTCTACCTGCTGTCTGTACATCTTTGATAAGCGTTCATACTTGACACATTTCTGACATACTACATTTGCAGTAGCATCATAATTTTTATCCTCTAGCAAGGAGCTGTGATCCCTCTGGTTTGAACCGGCTTTTTTTAGGTCACTGCTCGTATTTGATGACACCTGCAAAAAATGACCAATTAATGATTACCTCATATATAGTATATAAAATATATACACATGTATATGTATGAACGATATAACATCAATGGAAAGATATTTGGCTCTTCTATCTCCACTACTGTGGCAAAGGTAAAGACAACTAAAGGCTAGCTCAGGTCGGCCTACGATTTGACTATCAGCGACTACTTTAGCGCCGATTAGCAGCGTAGCAACACTCATGTCGACTTGAAGTGACTACGCTGCACATCACCAATCAGATCGTAGCGTTCATGCATAAAACGTAGACGGGTTCGTGGCCCCAGTATTTGTACTAGCACAAGCAGTTCTTTAGCACAAACAGAGCAAGCTTGACGCCGGGACCAGTCTACATAAAACGAGTCACGTACGTGACCAACAAAATGGCGCTTACCAGTAAACATCATGTAACTTCGTAAATCTATCCTTAATTTTTTGAACATCGTTATAATCATGGGCAGAATTTTTTTTTATGTGATATACGGAAAACTTAATATATATTTGAGAAAGGGTTTGTGCAATAATCCCTCCTTGTAAACTGCTGACAAGTGCTGTGTAGGCTGCCATTTTATTAATCACGTGACTTTTGATAATCATGTGACTCGACACGCTGCGGTGATTGGCTGCCACTCACAATTTGTCGCCGACAGCCGCATAGCAATAGAACATGTTCTATTCCTGCGATCGCAGTCGGCGACCGTATTTTCGATCGTAAGAGAACTCATGTCGAGTTTGGTCGCCGATGATTTTATCGGCGATCTGGCCGGTTTTTGACGTACGATATTCAAATCTTGTCGGCGACTAGGTCGTAAGGCCGACATAAGCGGACCTTAAAGCTAAGTTACTTTATTACAGCTTAAAATTCTGAAACATTGGAAACAGACCGTTGGTGATATCCATGGAGTCATTAAATCCAGCACTGAACTAGATTCATCGCCATGCAACATCTTTCGCTTTTTCACCCAAGCGATGATTTCACAGGGTTGCTTCCTCTTGTTAGACTCGGGAGAAGGATCAGTGGTTTTGCTTGACATCTCGTTCAGTTAACCTGTACAGTATGTAATATAACAAGATATATGTACAGAGAATTAGACCCACAATGTATAATACAGAATATGTGTGTATCCACAATGAATTGAATTTGAATTAAATGGAATTAGCAAAGAAAAGAAACAGTAATATTATAGGCATATATACTATTAAAATTATAATCACATCAGTGCAACAAGTTACAACTGTATTTTCTATGATTAACTATATTTATCATAAAATTTAAAAATACTTTAAACCATGAACTTTGCAGTAAAATGATTGTGAGAATGTGCTATAGCATTCAGGCATTACATAATATAGCTATAATAGACCTAGATTTGGCCTTTAAATTGCGCTACCATCCTGAGATGAAGAGAGTGCTACACGGGTATATCCACTATAATTAATAGCATTATATTATTATTACATTAGTACATAAACACAGGTAGATCCATTATAATTAATAGCATTATTATACTTACATAAATATGGGTAAAGGATAGCCTAAAACCTACACCAACTAAATGCTAAAATGTGAATGTGGCAGAATATTAATTGTTATTACAAAGAGGTTCGACAAATGAATGTGCCTAGCCAAGAAAATTGATACTCCAGCCAAGAGTACTCACAGGAACTTGGAACGTTTCAAGCATAAAATGATGGTAAATAAACATAAAATGTATTTACTACCAAAGTCTTAATGTTTCTTTACTTTTTTCATCTATTATTACTGATAATTTCCTGTAAATGCCGTTCAAATGCGCCTCTGCAACACACAAGTACACCGCACGCACGCCACTGTGCACAAACAACAAAAATATAGAGGTGGGAGAGCATGACCAAAAAAGTGTAGCAAGTACATGACAGAGCAAGGCCTAAGATAAAATATTGCTTGTTTTCCATACACACATCTTGTCAAAACAAAATAAAAAAGATTTTTCACCTACCTACCTACTCGGTACCCTGAGAGGCGAGTAGGTAAAGGGGAAACAAACTATTTTTTAAGGGTGGCCTAATAGCGCCGCATTTCATTCTGGGTTCAACTGTTCAAGCATCCCTGCTTCCAATCTCCATTTTGAGGCTCGCCAAGCCAAGCTAGCATAAGGCATGTAAAGAGTTTCGGATGATAAACGGGCACTTGCTCCCATTTACATTTTTAGCAGCTCTAGTGAGAGTTTTCTGAAGGAATTCACCAGATATCCAATTATAACTAATAATAACCAATTATAATTCGAACAAGTGAACATTTATTTAACTACGCACAGGTATCAGAATGGAGGCTGTTAGTGTTAGTTGTGTATTTGTATTGTGCAACGAAACGAGCGTCGTGAGAATATCGTGGTCACGGTTCTCCAGACTATATTTTTGTTGTCTGTGCAGTGTCAGCAGCATGCGTGATGCGTGCAGTGTCAGCGACATGCATGATGCTAGATACAATAATGTAACCCAACAAGAGTAGGGTTAATGTAACCCTACTCTTGTTGGGTTACATTATTGTATCTAGCGTGATGCATGCAGTGTACGTGTGTTGCAGGAGAGCATTTGAACAGCAAAAATTTTACAGCAAATTATCTGTAATAATAGACGAAAGAGAGTAAAGAAACATTAAGACTTTGGTAGTAAATACGTTTCGTGTTTATTTATCGTTATGTATCATTTTATGCTTGAAACGTTCCAAGTCAGTGCATGTACAGGTAGATACAATAATGTAACCCAACACGAGTAGGGGTACAAAGTAACCCTACTCTTGTTGGGTTACATTATTGTATCTAATGAGTATTATGTACATTCTGTACTGGGAAAGTACACTGAACTCTGAACTCTGAAAGGGGTACTTTACTCAGAGTGCGTGGCAGCCGCACTGTAGTTTAGGTAATAATAGACCAACTATAGGATTTCAAAGTACACAGAGAAAACACTAAACCGAAGATCGTATACAATGATACCTAGTTACAGCAAGATAGTTGAAGTTTTTGGTCCCTTTTTGTCCCCACCTCGACACTATTTTTGTCAACACAACTAAACACCGAACACTGACTCCTGACGACGATACTAGCGCCGACCGACGGCAGACAAGTTAACGTTCTCTTCTCCTTTTTTCTTCCTCTTTCTTATTCGTTGCTTGGATTTTTCTCACGGAATAATTACTTTGTGCTCCTGCATCAAACACCCAAAGTGTATAATATAAGTATAACCATAATCTAACTCGATTTTGTTATAGTCTGTGACGTAATTGCTCTAACATGAAATGTGGAGTTTACGAATGTATACTCCATAAAAAATATTATATTAGTTACACTTACACACACACGCCCACACGCTCTCTCACACACGCAAGTATGCACGTACTTACACGCACGCACGTACGTAGGCCAGAATAAGGAAAAAGTTGAAACGCTGGAAGCAGAGGAAGAAATTGGACCACTTTTATATATGGACGACATTCTTGGAATTGGGGACCACAAAACGATAGCTAAAATCGCACAAGCGTGTTCAAGTTTAGCCGAATCAAGACGGTTAGAATTTAATATGAATAAACCCAATATAATGGTAGTTAAATTTGGAAACAAAGATAGGATGGAGAAAGACGTATATACTACTATGTAACCAAGTAATTAAAAAAAACTCTAAATACACATACTTAGGAGATTTACTAAACGAGAAAGGAGGTTATAATTAACTTATACCATAGATATATACAACACATATGTTCAAGAGTGGATAATAGAGATATAATAGAATGGATAGATCTTTATTATCCACTCTTGATATGTTGTATATATCTATGGTTATACAGATATGATTAAAGCCCGAACGGAAAAATGCCGATATATAATGAGAAAAATTATATCACTGACTGATGAGCAAAACTATGGAACTATACGATAGAAGCGAGAGTAAAACTATACGAGTGCACGGTGCTATCCGCCTTCTTAAATAACAGTAAAACTTGGACCAACCTAGCTCTAGTATATAGCTCGCGGATCCGCGGGCTATAGTACTAGAGCTAGGACCAACCTAACTTAACCCGGTTAACCAAGGAAAAAGGAAAAATGTTAGAAGACTTCCAATATGAGTGCTTACGCAAAATGCTAAAAGCACACAGTAAGACACCGCTAGAAGCTCTTCGAATAGCTATAGGTATATACTACCGACATTAGACAAAATAAATTACAAAATTTATGTAATAAAAATATGAAAGAGAACTTGGAACATTTATATAAATGTGAGTTTTATAACAGATATAAGGACAGCTAACAAAGTGAAGACTGGAGATGGGACTACACTGGGTTACTCAAACCAGCAGTAGAATATGTACGAAAGATATTCTCAATTCGAAGTATTAATATCTAAAGAACTGGAGGTAGACATAATTTCCTGTTTCATTAGGTAATCCCCGCACCTACATTAGAGTGCCTTGTGAAAGACAAGAGAGGGACCTAAGATACAAGATATACAAGATACAAGATACAAGAAGTCTTCGAATTTCACTACTGTGTAAAATTGGAAATAGTGTAGAACAATTGTATAAATTATACAAAAAAGTTCAACTTGTAACGATTTGCAAACTTTGTATTTCCACTCAGTGGCGTAGCCAGCAATTGGAAACAGGGGGGGCCAAGGCGAGGGAGAAAGCGACCGAGGGGGTAGGGTGTGGGAGGGGTATCCCCTCCACGGTAGGGAGATTTTTGAAATTCGTGCATGAAAATGGCATTTTCTGACAACTAAATTCAGTATTAGGGGTAACTTATATGAGAAGTGCATATGCTAATCCCTTATAACCCCCTCCCTCGCTTTTTATTTTTCCACTCCAATCCGATCAAGTGGGACGATGGCCCCTGGTGTGGCGCGGAAGGCTCTGAGGTTACACACGACCAGTTGGGTGACCCTTAGCTAGACCAGTGAAATGGTGTACGAAGCCAGTGTTTTTCAGGGAGGAAGAAAAGAGTTAAGCGACCAAAGCAGTGATGAAGCAATTTCTCAACGGGGGAGGGTGTTTCCCCTCCACAGTAGGGTAATTTTGAAAAATATGTGCATCAAAATGGCATTTTTTTGCGCATTTCATTTTCATTATTGGTATAGTAATAGTGTATAGACCAATCCCATTCAGGGCCTTCTCTCTTAATTTTTGTACTCTCGCGATCAAGAGGGGGTCATGGCCTCCTTGTGCCCCCACCTTAGCTACGCCTATTCCTCATTCAAGCACTGACGGAATATTGGAATTAGTTTGATTGTGTTGTTAGCAGTACCATGCAATGTTGATATTTATTCGTCATAAACTGTTTCAAGTTCCTCAATATAAAGTTAAAAGTTAAATTATTTTTTGAAAAGTAGAGGCATATTGAATGAAATCGAAATAAAGATCTACGGGAAACACAGGTAGATGTGTTGGAACTGCACTGAATAAACATGCAATTTATTTAAATTACAAATATTTACATCGTTTAGAATACAATAGCGTTAAAGATCACATTAACATTTTGTTCGTTATAAAAAATGTTTTTGCTTTTCCTCTGATGAAGAACTAAAAACCATATTGAAATTTGATTTCAAATAAAAACAAAGGTAGCTGCCAAAATAGCCGCTCTATTAAAATAAAAAGGAAATTTACCATGAAAAGAATTGTTTTTGCCTCCCCTGATAGAGAACAGTTACTTAAAATAGTGTTGAAATCGGATTTGAAATAAAAACCGAGGTTTCTGCCAAAATGGCCGTCTATAAGTTCGAATATATCAAAGTTATTCACAAAGCATTTCATTTCTTTTCTTCTGTCAATAAGAGTTCAGAACCATAAAATCAATCAAAGCCAACTTGCAACAACACAAATCTGAGCAAAGAAGAATTATCTCCTTTCTTTTAGTCATGTTTTGTCTGCCGCAGAAATCTCAAAATCCAAAGTCAGTCTTCTCGTCGATTTTGAGATTTCGTTGACATTAATGTCATTCACTAACTCCTGTTCAACGAAAAGGAGAATGAGAGCAGAGATCGTGGCTGGGTCATTGTAGAACGAAGTTTAGACTTGACAATGCTCATTTAGAGAATGTTCGTTCAGCAGATGCAGAAGTAACAGAATTGTGGCCAGTCCTGTGAAGACGCGTGAGAGCAAGGAAAATTTTTGTTTTGTTTTGTTTGCCAATCAACAGGGGGGCCATGGCCCCCTTGTGCCCCCCTTAGCTACGCCAGTGCATGTCTGATTGTATAACGTACATTGATATAACAATGGTGGTGCCCATGTGTAAGAATTATGGTAACACTGTATAGAATCGTGATAACATTGTATAACAATGACGTGAATACATTGTATAACAATCATGGTAACAATTGTATAAGGACCGTACACACGCGTACACAAAACTTCTTAGAGAGGAAAAACGACTGCGAGGAAGGAGTTATGCAACCGAAATCAACCATAATCATTGCTCCGCACCCGTCTCTAAATCCCACTCGCTGATCCGCATCCGCATCCCCAACATCCTTCTCTTCTCCCTGTTCTCCTCTCCGTTGCCGCCGCCAACAAGAAACAGCAGAACAAACAAACAACAACAACAACAACAACAACAATAACAACTACGATGACGACGATAGGCACATCCCGCCCCTCCGTACAGACAGAACTCACAGATGATTGTAATACAACAATCTGCGGGTCAGGCAAGGAAGCTAACACGACTCTCTGTGGCATAAAGCCGAGGTTCCGCACGCACAGGCGCAAAGACTCGTGCACAGTCACAGAGTCAGGATGCCGGTGTTGCTACGAGAGCATTGGGTTTGTCCAAGATCGTGCAGCCGAGCTCCTTATGTGCACGCGCGCATGCGTGTACATACACGCGGGCGTGTACCTGCGGCCTGCGTACAATAGGTGCACGTGAGTGTATCTGCCGTGCACAGATGCACATGACCGCATGCGTGCATGTGTATGTGCGAGCATACGTGTGTACGTGCGCGCACGTGTGTATGTGCGGGTACGCGTGTATGTGCACGCACGCGTGTATTGCACGCCGCGCGTGTACGGTGCGCGCATGCGTGTACGCGCACGCATGCGTGTACGTGCACGCACGCGTGTATGCGCACGCACGCGTGTATGCGCACGCATGCGTGTACGCGCACGCATGCGTGCACGCACGCGTGTATGTGCACGCATGCGTGTACGTGCACGCACGCGTGTACGTGGTGTGTGTGGTTAGGGTAGGGGTTAGGGTTAGGGTAGGGGTTAGGGTGAGGGTATATATATATATACCCTAACCCTATATATATATATACCCTAACCCTATATATATATATATATGGTTAGGGTTATATATATATAGGTTAGGGTATATATATCATATAGGTTAGGTATTTTT